TGTTTTGTTCCGCAATTTTGTTCTACTCTGTCAAACTTATTTTTTTACATCAGTAAAATATTTATAATGTTAAAATGGAATTTAAAACAATCCACACTTTTTATTAAAAACTCAAAATATTAATTTTATGCATACAATTTGGTTTGACCGAAACCGCCTGCCACCTGTAATTTTGTGGACACAAATTACGGCAGTTGCGATTCTAAAATCTGTGCAGAGATCTCATCTTAGTTCGCCCACGCTCAAATTCCGCGTTCAAGTCTAAACAATATTCAATCAATCAATAACGTGCAGACACGTGGTTTGATATTTCTGGGCTGCGCGCCCGGTTAATTGATTCTATTCAGCTTGGAAATAGATTTGTTAATCCATGCAAGAATAAATCACACTTTCAGTAGTTTCAGTGGCAGTTCTTAGATCCGCTTCCTTGGCATTTTTTCATTTTTAATTTCCTTTCTTTAAATTCTATTATTTTATGAAGTGATCTTTGAGTTGTTAATCATTTTTTTAACTAGAGTTATTTTGATTTTGATTGTTTTTTTCCTTTTGTCATATTCATTAATTACTTCAATGTTGGTAATTACATTGATGATGTATCTGTATATAATATTAAGACAAAAATACTTAAATAAAAACATCTATCATAAACAAGTTATTAAAAAGACCATCTAAAAATATTTGTAAATCGAAATTTAGAATTTTGATTGCAAAACATAAAAAAACAATTTCACTAGGCTACATAGAAAGTTAATTTCCTGGCTACCCTGGTAAAATTATTTTTCAATTTCAACATTAAATACACAAAGGATTATAGCACACCAATAAATACACAACGGATTATGGCACACCAATAAATGCACAAAGGATTATGGCACACCAATAAATACACAAAGGATTATGGCACACCAATAAATACACAAAGGATTATGGCACACCAATAAATGCACAAAGGATTATGGCACACCAATAAATGCACAAAGGATTATGGCACACCAATAAATGCAAACAACTAATATGTAGTCTGTAGTCTGCCATTTGTGATGGAAGAATAAGAATTTGTTTAGATTTCAATTAAATAAATAAAATCTAAATCTTAACCTGATTTTCAAGTTGAATGAGTCACCCTTGGACTTTACGATATCAGTTTTGTCCATGCGGGGAAAAAGATGCAANGGGGTGGTAGGTGTAAACGTGAAGAAACTGTAAACGTAATTTAAAGTTACCCCCTAAACCCTCCCCCACCTTATAGAGGGGGGGGAGGTATAAAGTTACCCCCTAAAGGTAGAATTCACTGGTTTACACCATTATCCAATCATCAATAAGAAAAATATCGTTGATTTTTTTCTTAAAATTGGTTAGATTCTGTCAATTTTCTATTTTGTGTCTACTTTATAAACCCGCAAAACACTCTTCAGAGAAACCGCAATTTAATATTTTAGATTAAAAAAACAAAAATATTAAGAAAAATTTTGCTCAGCCGAGGTTTTTAAGGATACCGTTGTGGATCGGACAAGTTCCTTTTTTAAAATAAAGTGTCACTTTAATTAACGTGAACAGTACCTTTATATAACTTGGAGTTCGTTGATATTTAAAATGCGTGAACTAAAACGTGCTTAAAACATTCTCATTTACTGTCTCTATACAGGCGCTACGGTTCATCACGTTTTTGTCAGACAAAACCTCAATTTTAATTCCTTAAAAGAACAATAACTTTTCAGGATTAATATTGTTCCACGTCTGTTTTTACATCCGTAGCTACTAGGCCTAGCTCGCGCAGATTGTGCGCGCAAAGTACGGACAATTCATTTTTACGCGGCATTCAAATTTTAGATTTTTTCCTTCCAGTGGTATTTAATTGTGCAATAGAGTTTTTTTCAGTTAAGTTGTTTAAGCTTAAATTTGAAAATATTTTTTCAATTCAACAAAAAGAAAAATAGTAAAAGGTCAAAAGTAAAAAAAAATCTACAGCTGGGAAAGAAAAAGAGAAAAAAGGAAAGCAAGACAGGAAGAAAGAAAGAAAGAAAGAAAGAAAGAAAGAAAGAAAGAAAGAAAGAAAGAAAGAAAAAAGAAAGAAAGAAACAAAGAAAGAAACAAAGAAAGAAACAAAGAAAGAAACAAAGAAAGAAACAAAGAAAGAAAGAAAGAAAGAAAGACAGAAAGAAAAAAGAAAGAAAGAAAAAAGAACTAGAATGTATCCTTGTATCTACATCCATCTATTATACAGTGTGTATATCTAGGAGTAAAACTAGGGATACACAAACTCTAATTTAATCGGACAAAAAAAGTTTATTTTTCCGGGAGAAAATTCTTGTTTTTTTATGCTTCGCTAAAAATGTCAACTCTGAATGTTTATATGTTGAAATTTTTAAAATCTATTTAATACATGAACATTTTAGATTATGATTAATGATTTCATGCAGAAGCATTAGTGTTAAAAACACATCTTTATATTTGATTGTTTGAATTCGAATGAGAAGACCAAATTTATATATAGATTAGATAAAGGAACTAAATACTTTCCACAATTTTGAAATATCAAAGGTTTACATCATCAGGTTGCAAAGGTAGAAATTGACAAAATAAATTAGGTTTCTTGCTAGAATTTGCTTAAAACAAAACTAACTATTTTCTTTGTTGCTTAATTATGCCTATCCCTAACTGTAAGTCTATGTGTATACAATGCCTATCCCTAACTGTAAGTCTATGTGTATACAATGCCTATCCCTAACTGTAAGTCTATGTGTATATACGGAATTGACACTTCGAATTCTTGCTTCAGAGCATGCGTCTCCTATGCAGGGGAGGCGAACATGGGGGGAGGGGGGTATAAGTGGAATTTAGGGAAGGGGGCACGAACAATATTAATTTATCTATATAAAGAAGTTATCTCGAGTAGTTTCTATGTCTGATCATAACTCATAATTTTCTTGACCGATTTGCCTCAAAGTAGAACTCTGGAAATGTTCTTACTAAAAATTGAGTGTGTCGAATTTTACAGAGAATGATTATTATCCAAGGAAAGTTGGGTTCCCAGGCTAGTTCTCCTATAAAATCTTATATATACCTTTTTGAATAAAAACTGAAATATAAACATTAACTTAAAATTATTAAATAGCAATGTTTTGACGATCTTTATCTTCTTATTCTTAATTTTCTAAATTCTCAACTGTTTAGATGAAGAATTTTTTACTTTAAAGTAACTATGGAATAAACCATAAACCTTTCAGTCCAGATGAAGAGCCGATCGTTTAACATTAGTCCTGTTGAAACCAAAGAGAATAGAATCTCTTTGGTTGAAACATAGACCTGACGAATATTAGTTCCGATGAATATTTTTCCCAATGAAGATTAGTCTTAGTTCTGATGATAGTATCCTTGTAACTAATACAATGTAGTTCTGATGATAGTATCCTTGTATCTAATACAATGTAGTTCTGATGATAGTATCCTTGTATCTAATACAATGTAGTTCTGATGATAGTATCCTTGTATCTAAAACAATGTAGTTCTGATGATAGTATCCTTGTATCTAAAACAATGTAGTTCTGATGATAGTATCCTTGTATCTAAAACAATGTAGTTCTGATGATAGTATCCTTGTATCTAAAACAATGTAGTTCTGATGATAGTATCCTTGTATCTAATACAATGACTATGACTGTTCTATTCTGAGTTAGAATGAAACAGATTGAAATGAGTTTTTAATTCTTTTAATCATTCTCTTATTCATACCTTGGTTTGATAAACTCTAAAAAACGGTTAAAAATTTAAGAATTAATTACCTCCCTCCCTCCCCCCTTATCCATACATTTCTTCTTTTCTCACGGATTGTCATTATTTAAACTATTTCTTCAAGTAACACAAAACAGCAATTTAATTATCAAGAAAAAAGACAATCAATTGGAGTAAATTTTATATTTAAAGGAATTTTTGATATTTTTCAATTTGTTCTTAAATTGAACTAACGACAGTAATTAGATAGATTATCATTATTATCAATTTTGTTTGCCTTGTGGTTTTATATATTCTGCATTTGATCAGTCAACATTAAAGATGTTTATAATGTACATGTTTGAAGGGATTGTGTTTATAATGTACATGTTTGAAGGGATTGTGTTTAACTCTTCCGCCATCACTAAACATCCGACATTTTATACTTCTGATAACATAAAAACAAAGTTGTCCGTCTTCTAAAATTTCCTCTTTGGCGCGAAGGAAACAAAAACCACAGATCCAAATCATAACAATAAAACATGCTGCTTAAAGTATAACACAACAACTATACAAACAAACAGAAAATAGAAGAAGCAAACAAACACACAAACACCAAAAGTATCAGACAAACAAACAGACGAAGATGAAAATGGAACGCTTGTGTATTTTATAATTTTTATTTGGACAAATTTCTTAATAAAGTTTGAAATAAATAGATAAATAAAACATAAAATAAATTGATAAATTCTTAAATTGATAACAATAAAAGGACGAGAAGATTAATTAATAAATGAATAAATAAATAGATGAATAAATGAATTATTTACATATCTAAAAGGATAAAAGAATGAATTGTTGAATTTATATATGAATAGATCTAATAAATGAATGAAAGGATGAATGATAAACATGTAACGATCTAGGTCCCAATCAATCTCCCTATACTTGACTCTAACTCTAATAATCAGTCTTCAAGAATCTATCTCTCTAGCCAAAACCCTGGCTCTATACGTCCGTTTGAAACGACTATTGATACTATACTAATTTATTGATACAGGTGAATATAGATTAACCAGACTGGCCGGTCCGGGTCAGATAGAACATAGATAATAGATAAGAAAGCATAGATAATAAAGTTAATAAACTAAACAAAAAAATATATATGAGATAAGGATAGCAAAATACGCTTCATCCCCTGAATCTATTACCAACATAAAAGGTAGAAAAAAAATAAAATGGTGAACGATGAATGAATGAATGAATGAATGAATGAATGAATATTCCAGGTATGGCAGGCTATAGAGAAAGTCCTTCAGCAGGACAGAATCAAGGATGAGGACACAGGACAGGAGGACTGTCAGGGGGAGGACAAGCAGGGCGAGAGGGTGGAGGAAAGAGGACAGGGGGAGGGGGATGTTGTGGAGTTAACGCCCCTTGCACCTTTACAAACACATAATAGACCTAGTTTTTCTAAGGTATGTACATCTTTCCAGTTTTCATGTACAGTATACAACTTTCTAGTATTCATGTACAGTATACATTTTTCTAGTTTTCATGTACTGCATACAACTTTCTAGCATTCATGTACAGTATACATCTTTCTAGTATTCATGTACAGTATACAACTTTCTAGTATTCATGTACAGTATACAACTTTCAAGTTTTCATGTAGAGTATACATTTTTCTAGTTTTCATGTACTGTATACAACTTTCTAGTTTTCATGTACAGTATACAACTTTCTAGTATTCATGTACAGCATACAACTTTCTAGTATTCATGAACAGTATACAACTTTCTAGTTTTTATGTACAGTATACAACTTTCTAGTTTTCATGTAAAGTATACAACTTTCTAGTTTTCATGTACAGTATACAACTTTCTAGTTTTCATGTAAAGTATACAGCTTTATAGTTTTCATGTACAGTATACAACTTTTTAGTTTTCATGAACCTAAATACAACTTCCTAGCATTCATGTACATAAATGCTTAATTGTACAACTTCCTAGTATTCATACACCGATATATATGCTTGTAGTACAACTTAATGGTATTCGTGTACCTAGATGTATACTTGTACAACTTTCTACTATGTACATAAATGTATACCTGTACAACTCAATGGTTTTCATGTACATAAACGTATATCTTGTAAAACTTTATGTTACTTATGTATAGTTTACTAATTACATAATTACATGTGAACCGTGCATGGACTCAATTCATCCATTAAAATAAAATAAATCCATAAATTCCTCAAGAGAGAGGTTTCGTGGTTTTCCTATTTCTTTAAAATATATACCAGGTTTATAGCTGCTGGTAAACAGGTTTATAGCTGCTGGTAACCAGGTTTATAGCTGCTGGTAACCAGATTTATAGCTGCTGGTAACCAGGTTTATAGCTGCTGGTAACCAGGTATATAGCTGCCGATAACTAGGTTTATAGCTGCTAGTAACCAGGTTTATAGCTGCTGGTACAACCAGGTTTATAGCTGCTGGTAACCAGATTTACAGCTGCTGGTAACCAGGTTTATAGCTGCTGGTAACAGGTTTATAGCTGCTGATAACCAGGTTTATAGCTGCTGGTAACCAGGTTTATAGCTGCTGGTAACCAGGTTTATAGCTGCTGGTAACCAGGTATATAGCTGCCGATAACTAGGTTTATAGCTGCTTAACCAGGTTTATAGCTGCTGGTAACCAGGTTTATAGCTGCTGGTAACCAGGTTTATAGCTGCTGGTAACCAGGTTTATCGCTGCTGGTAACCAAGAATGTAAATTTGAGTGGCATAAATTTCGTCTGTGAATTATTTACACGCTGCCACAGACAGAGAAAGAGAAAGAAAGGAAAAAACGAAAAGGATACTAAGAGAGAAAAAGAGAAAATGAGAGAAAGAGAGAAAGAAAAAGAGAAAATGAGAGAAAGAGAGAAAGAAAAAGGAAAGACTGAGAGAGAATGAGAGAATGAAAAAGGAGAGTATGAGAGAGAAAAAAGAAAAGGAAAGAGAGAGGGGAGACAATTAAACAAGAAGAAAGAGAAAGAGGGGCAAAATTTAAAAAAAGAAAGAAAAAAGAAAGAGATAGAGAGGTTGAGAGAGAGAGAAGGATAGGAACCCACTGAGTGTGCATAGAAAATCATGTAGCAAGTTTAATCATATTTCCCAACTACCCAGGAATACCACTAGGAGCTCTTAAACTTCAGTCACGGAGAATTAATCCTGCCCAGGGGGAGTAATATGGGGGGAGGGAGTAATAAGGGGAAGGAATTACATGTGGGGGG